AAAAATAAACAAAAATAAAAATTAATATTTAAAATTTTAAATATACAAACAAATTTGTCTGCATTACAATTTAAGAAATAATATTTATATATTTATATTTAAATTTTTATTAGATTTAAAATCAAGTTTTATTAAATTGAATATATTGAAAAGATTTTTAAAAAAATTTAGATACTATTGTATATTTAATTTTTATTAATTAAAAATATTATTATTATTTTAATAATACTATATATTTTGAGATTTTAATATTAAGAAATTTATTTTAACTTGTATTTATGTTTTAATTTTTTTTCTAAATAATTTTTTAAATTAATAAAAATTAATATTTTTTTATTGTATTTTTTATTATTACAAAATAATAATAATTATTATATGATAAATATTGACCCCACAGGAGTTGTTATAATACTAAAGTGTAATTGTCCATTATTATAAAATCTAAGAAGTTAAAATCCAATATACTGAAATAGAAAGTTATATTCGAAAATTTAAATTTAAGCTTTTTTGTAAATTTCAGATCTGGATTTCATTAAGTTTTAATATTTTTTTTTAGATTTTTGTTTTTTTTCCAAGTTTTTATTTATTTTTTATTTTTAGATATTTATTTTATTTATTTTTTTTGAATTTATTTTCTAATTTTAATTTTAATTTTTGTTTTTGTTTATTTTTTTTTTCCAGTTTTTGTTTTTTGAAAAGGTTTTCAGATATGATTTTTTATTTCAGGTTTTGGTTTTTTTCTTTTGGATTTGATTTTTTTATTTCGAATTTTGGTTTTTTTCTTTTGGATTTTATTTTTTTTGAGTTTTGGATTTTATTTTTGAATTTGGTTTTTTTTGGATTTTGAATTTTTCTTTGGGTTTGGTTTTTTTATTTTTTATTTCAAGTTTAGTTTTTTTATTTGAGTTTTTCTTTTTTATTGTTTTTTTATTTTTTATTTTAGTTTTTTTATTTTGAGTTTTTATTTTTTATTTTAGTTTTTTTATTTTTATTTTTTATTTTTTATTTTGGATTTGGTTTTTTTATTTTTTATTTTGGTTTTTTGATTTCAAATTTTAGTTTTATAATTTTAGGTTTTAGTTTTTTTTTTTGAGTTTTATTTTTTTATTTTTATTTTTTCCTTTGGATTTGGTTTTTTTCAGGTTTTGATTTTTTTATTTTTTATTTTAGTTTTTTTATTTGAGATTTTTATTTTTTCTATTTTCTTTTAGTTTTCCAAATTGTTTTTTTCTGGGATTTTTTTAATTATTATTTTATAAATTATATCTTAATAAATTAATTAAAATATATAGTTTGTATAATTTAATTTAAATAAAAAGTTTAATTTAGTTTAATATAATATAATTTTATTTAATTTATTAAACCATAAAGTTTAATTTAATTTAATATAATATAATTTTATTTAATTTATTAAACCATAAAATTTAATTTAATTTAATTCAAATACTGTTTATTAAAATATAAAGTTTAATTTATTTTACTTAATTTTATTAATTACAAAATTTATAATATAATATTTTGATTATATGGTTTTTATAAAAAAGTTAATACGTATTTCATTTATTATATTTGTATATAATAAATGTTTTTTACAATATATGTTTTTTATTATTTAAATTAAACAAAAAATAATATATATTTATAAAACTTATTTATTTATAATATTGATTGTTATATTTTTTTAAATTTTAATATAATTTAATACAATTTAAATATTTTATTATATAAAATATTTTGATATTTTTTATAATTTATACTAATATTATTATTTATATAATTTATACTAATATTATAATTTATATAATTTATTATAACATTATTATTTAAATTTATAATTTAATACAATTTAATTTATTTTAATTTATTTTACTATATAAAATACAATAATATCTTTAATTTTAAAATATAATTTAAAAAATAAATTATTGTTTATATATTATTATATAATTTTATACTATTTTATACAATTATTATAATTTAATAAAATAAATTTAAATTTATTATATTTTTATATATAAAATACTTTAATATTTTTAATCCTGGAGCATAGCCCGGGCTAATATGCTAGTAATACAAATATAATAATTTTTTTTTTTTTTTTTTTAAGGCTAAGTTGTAATACACGCATGGATTTTACAAATATAATAATTTATAAATTACTAGTTTAAATTTTATATTAAAATATAATAAAATTTAAAATAGTAACTTATAACTTTAATAAATTACCATGTATAGTAACTAGTCTATTAAAGAAAAATACATTATACTTTGATAATTTTTAAATATGAATTAATTATTAAATTATTATAACTTTTGATTTTATACTAAAGATTTTAAAATTTTTTTATCATTAAGATTTAGTAATAAAAAAAATAAATTGATATTTATAAAATAAAAATTAATCAAATGCTTCCAATACTAAAAATGAAATGGATAATTTATAGATTTTAATTTTTAATTGTAATAAGATTAAAAAATAATTCATATTAGAGATTGTTATATGTAATAATCAATTTATTATATAATAAATTAACTAATACTCGAGAAAAAATTTTATTAAGAAATAATATATAACAAATAATGTTTTCATGCAATACTATAAGTTAGAATCAATAAAACCAATATATCTAAATAATAATTATTAAATAACGAATTTTTTAAATAAATTTAGCTTATATCATTCTTTAGAAAAAATGCTAAAGCAAATCAATATATTAATGTTTATATAACACAGGGTCTTATTTTAAGGAATGCATGGAAAATTACGGTAATCATAAAGAGTAATGTATTATTTATTTACGTATTGTAATAAATGAGGATTGCGTTTTAAGAATAAAAATTTACAAAAAACGTGATAAATCGAGTAATTTGAATATACTGGAAGCCTACACATCCATGTGTTCTTTTATAATATTAGACGTAACATGGAATTGATTTATTTGGTTTTTTTTTTTGCTTCATGAAGAAAAAAATATTCAATGTAAGAAAGTTAAATGTAAAATTATATAACCATACACACACATGAAGGGGATAAAAAATCTATCTATTATACAAAAACAATCCAAATAGTAATAGAAAAAACAAAAAAAAAAAAAACTGTGAAGGAGGAAAATATACAGCTCTATCTATACAAGGAAATTGAGTAGGAATTCTAGGGTGAACGTGAGTGGAATTAGTACAATGAATTTTTTGATGCTAAAACAAGTTTGAAGAGAAAATTATGCGGTATTTGTACAGATGAAAGGATGGAATTAATGGGGAAAGAGGGGTGATGAGATGATGAGTTGCGTGGTCGTGAGAACCAGAAATTGATCCGGTTGACTGGTGTGATCGCGATTTTGAGATATGGAATAGGCATCTCAAATCATGACAGGGTCATTGGACATAGACTAAAAAATCTTTCGTGGGAGAAGGGGCCAATCATGCCAAACTCGGCGCAGAAACCGAACAGAATCACAGAGATTGACCTTTCGCATCCGGCAATATAATTCGGGAAAATAGAATTCGGAATGCTGCAACTAGCTACTGAATACTACAACACAGTATACTGCTTTCCCGATCGTTTTGTTGGATCAAGTTGTTATCATGTTGGTTCGCACTTGGAACTGCTTGCGACTTGCTTCTCGCAAAGAACGGCCAACTAAAAGTTTGTTGTTTAGACTGATTAGATTGCACTAGAGGAGCTTCTGATGTGCCTGCATTGCTAAGAGCCTCATCTAGGTTAGACCTCAAGTCTTCCGACGGTGCTTCGGGAACGTTCTTTGCCGGAGCAGTAACTATGGTGGGAGAATCATCGGTGGGAGAAACTAGATGAAAGAAAAAAAAAATTTCACAAAACGGATCAAAATCAATATATGTGAAACCAATTTTCAGATATCTTTACAGGATGATCGACTTACCTATAACCGCCGAATCGTTACCGGAACTGTTGTGCCTCAGCGACCGGTCATTACCATTGGCATTCTCCTTGCATTTTTGCCAAGATGTTTTATTGGTCTCGAGATACTTGATGCAAAAATCCATTTCTGTCATAGGAAAAAAAAAAGATTGAGTACACGTGAAAGTGCATCCAACAGAATAAGATGAAGCTTTCTGATTTACCTGGCAAGAGACTACCGACACTTGTAAACAGAGGCATTGCGAAAAAATCAATGAACCATATCTGAGAGTCGGATTGCGTGATACTTCCATGCCTGTCATTTAACGGAGGAACGGGTTGACCGAGTTTCCTCTGCAAATCACCTTGACACCTGAATTCCTCCATCAAAACGTTTGACCAACTTTCGGCAATATGATATGGCCTCGCCTGGAATAAACGAAAATATAAAATATCTATATATCACCATATTCATAGCCGTCGGAAAACAAATTATCAATTTCCAAACACCCGCAAGATAAACCTACCACATTACTGATATCTGCACACTTGATCAATGCACCAATAATAATCTTTCTCTCTTTGTCCGCCTTTAATTCATAGTCGGACGATTGGAATCTTTTAATTTGCTCATTGATACCCACAACATACTCTTCATGCAAGTCCATGTCGGTGGCGAGGATTGCGTTTACGACGGTCTTTCGCAATTCTGGATTCGAGGAAAAAAGAAAAAAAGAATTAGCAACAATAACCAACTAACCAATGCAACAATTCAAAGAAAAAATGATCGACAATCACCAGCATACTCGGTGGTACCAGGATTGTAAACCATGAAATCGTGTTTTCGCATCAAGTTAAACAGTGTCATGGCATGAAAGCTCTCCAAAACCGATGTATCATTGTATATCTGCGCTAATGGAGTTTGCGATTGAATCTAGAAGGGATGATGATGATACTAGATTAGGTCGACGTGCACGTCGTGCTTCCAAATGCACATAACGAGAGATCACCCGTACCAGGAAATTATTGCTGACTCCCGGATGACCGACATCATGTCCAATGGATGCCAACAGTAGAGCAAAGGCGTCAGTGCTCTTCAAAAGATTATCGGGAAAGCATCTCTGCCGATTTTTTTCAAATCGGGATGGGAACAAAGAGGGAATGAGATCTATTTTGCACAGAAAATGAAACATTGCTTGGAGAACGTCCACGGCATGAATGAAATTGTGGTACGGATTTGTGTTGTGATAACACTTCATGATGGCGAATATGAATTGGTGTAATTGATCTTTGAGAGAGAAGCGTGAATTGATTAGCTCGGTATGTCGACACGAATATTCAATCGACAAATTGATTCTTACTTGTCGATGACACACGGAGTCCGTTATATTCCAAAACATGCTCGAAAATGATGACCACGCATCTCAATTGGTCTTCTTCTGTTAAATCATGGGCATTAAATTCCCATACTGACAATTTTCTTTTGAGAGAGTTTGTTTTTTCCAATTCCGCAGCCGGGTTCAGTCTACCGGTATATAATCATCGAACGTAAGCTATTTGCTCAAAGTCAAATGTCTAGTCACTCACTCACTCGCACAGGCCACATTTGCAAAGCCTGGAGTTGATCAATTTTTACATACATACCTTGTGATGTAACCAACGCTCATCGACGGCTTCGGCGGAGTGTAGTAATCAAATATGGTCTCCTCTAACCTGGTGATCAAAAGGAAAGAAGCATCAATCATTAATACCAGAATTTCAGAAAACCTACATCCCGCCATACGTGTATTTCACGTACCATTTATCTTTCATGCTGACTTTCTGAAGCCTTTGTTCCAAGGAGCCGCTACACCGTATTGAAGACTTTGAATAGTCTGATCTGTACATACGCTACACAATAATGCGAACAGTGAATGACAATTCAATGGGGGAGAAAACGAATATCAAAAATTTCGACATTCGAAATACCAAAAACATGGTTTTTGCCACTTCCAGTCTAATGGGTTTTAGTAGGTAATCAACAGCTCCCTTGTTCATACAATCCAACATTGTTTCCGTTGAATCTTTCCAAGAACATACTGCATTTTGGAATTAGATAGGGTTAACAAAAATCAGCATATGGAATGGAGCGGCTTATAAAAAAAAAAGTTCAACCCACCGATGGGGATTACATGATTAAGTTTTCCCAGAGAAATTTCTTCACTTATGTGTTTCAATAGTTCCAGCCCATACAGGGTGTCTCTTGT